AATATTTTCTGTCACTCAGTTGCCTGTCTTTTCATTGACTTAATAGTATCTTTTGCAGGGCAGCTAATTTTGATAAAATCCAATCTACTGATTTTTTTATTTCATGGGTTGTGCTTTCCAAACCCATTCATTTGGTTTTGCTTTGGGCTTAGGATATTAAACAGCCTCTTCTAGGAACTTTCAGTTTCAACCCTTTTATTTATTTATTTTTGAGACGGAGTCTCACCCTGTTGCCCAGGCTGAAGTGCAGGGGCACGACCTCAGCTCACTGCAACCTCTGGCTCCTGAGTTTAAAAGATTCACCTGCCTCAGCCTCCCAATTAGCTGGCATTACAGGCATGCACCACCACACCCAGCTAATTTTTTTTTTGTATTTTAGTAGAGACTGGGTTTCACCATGTTGGCCAGGCTGGTCTTTTTTTTTTTTTTTTTTTTTTTTTTTGAGACGGAGTCTTGCTCTGTCGCCCAGGCTGGAGTGCAGTGGCCAGATCTCGGCTCACTGCAAGCTCCGCCTCCCGGGTTCACGCCATTCTCCTGCCTCAGCCTCCCGAGTAGCTGGGACTACAGGCATCCGCCACCTCGCCCGGCTAGTTTTTTTTTGTAATATTTAGTAGAGACGGGGTTTCACCGTGTTAGCCAGGATGGTCTCGATCTCCTGACCTCGTGATCCACCCACCTCGGCCTCCCAAAGTGCTGGGATTACAGGCTTGAGCCACCGCGCCCGGCCGCCAGGCTGGTCTTAAACTCCTCACCTCAGGTGATCTCCCTGCCTCGGCCTCCCAAAGTGCTGGGATTACAGGCGTGAGCCACTGCACCTGGCCAAGTTTCAACCCTTTTCGATTTAAGAAACTTTGCTTATGAAACTTCGTTACATTTGCATAGCTAGGACCCTGGCCGCCTTTGTACTTTGTAGACTGAAGCTGTGTTCTGGTTCTTTAAATTGGGTGAAATGAAGCTCCTGAGTAGGGTGATTCGGACCCACTGAAGACCAGACATGTTTCAATAAATGTGCCTACTGGATTTCTCTCTATGCCCACAGGATGAACTACAGGAAGACAGGGGTGGGGGATTCTGAGATCATAGAATCTGAGGTCATAGAATTTTATTTGTGCATTAGTGTGGACAAAGATTTTGGCAGTTGAAATGGGAAAAGAGGGTGGATATGAGTGTGATTATGAGGAAGGAAATGGCAGGGTTTGAAATTAGAGTTAGTGTGAAGGTAATGATATTGGTTATCTCTAGATTGTGTGGCTAAGAAAAGGCAGAGTGCTAGGAGTTCAAGTGGGAGGAAATAGAGAGAGGTACTTACTTTTGTGGTAGTATTAGTCTTCAAGGTTATATCAGAATGGCAAGGGCATCTCATCAGCTGTAGTATTAGAGTAGATATACCCTTATTAGGTATGGAACTGTTAAAAGCATAATTACAAAGATACAGGCATTAGTGTACTTAAAGCACTGGCATGGAGTCACGTCGACTGGGCCTAGGGAAATGGTTTATAGTAATCTCAGTTTTGGTGTATCCCATTAATTTGGATTTTGTGTAACCTGAATTATAAGATTGCTTGAAATGAAACTACTTAATGCCTTAATTCCCCCAGTAGCTGACTTGTAGACAAGGATTTAAATGCAAGTATTTTGTTTTGGAGGTTATCCTTGGAAAAGCCAGTAGGGGAGTGGGAAGTTAGATAGGAGAGGGGAGACAGCAAAGATTGCAAATACAAGATTTGTTATCAACCAGGTACTGATTTTTTCACAGCATTCCCACTGAGAAACTCCAGGAGCAAATGTAAAACTTGTGTCTTATGGTTATAGTCCTTTAGGGGAAAGGTAGGTGGAGTATTTATATACCATCTCTTTCAATCATTGATTAAGATTTTTTCAGGAGGTGGTAGATCTACACGTCAGGCGTGCCACGCAGGGAACAAAATGGGCTCGAGGATAGAGAAAGCCCTCAGGTGCTGTCAGGCCAGTGTACCTGGTAGGGGCTAGGGGATATAGGGACACTCTTTTGACTCCTTCCTTAATACCTTGCCATGCAGTTCCGGGATTTTCAATTTATTTCCTTTAAGACATTATTAGAAACATTTCCGCCTTAAATGAGCCATTCTAGCAGCATGTTAGGACTGGCTCCGGATGCCCTTTTTGGAACATTAAATTGTGAGTCATGGAAGAGTGGCCCATATCAACAGACATTTCCTTGCCAGCCTTATACTTGACCTCCAAGTTCAGCACTCTCAAGATCCAGGTATGTTCTTCCAGTTCTTGCCAGTACATCTCATCATATCATACTGTGTTGGTGGATCAGTGCTTTCATCAAAAGGAGGGCCAGTACCTCCCTATTCTGACAATGCCTGGTTGTTAGCCTACAAGCAGTGAGGGAGGTAGGCACATATCTCCAGGAGGGTAGTCATCTTTGGAGGCAGGCATCCCAGCTGAGACCTCTGCATAGTTTTTAGTCAGGGGAGACCGCCCTCTTGTAGTAAGAGGAAGAAAGCTGCTTCTGGCCTGGAGGGTTCAGAAGAATCTTGTCAGGACTGTGAATTCAGTTTTGTAATTTGCTTGCTTTCACAGTAGGAACTTGAGTCTAATTTTTAGCACAGTCTGTCTGCACGCAAAGAAATGCAGATGCTGGCAACTAGAAACTGGACAGTTAGACCTTCATGTAGCCTGGTGATGGATTAAAGGCTGCGCCTGTTCAGTCAACAGATAATGTCAGTGTTATCGCTCCTGTTGAGTAACAGAGTTTTCTTAGCATAAGTTTGGTGTGCTGGTCTATTCTAACACTTAGGGAACACTGTGTGCTGGGAATTGTTCTCGGCATTTGCTGTGAGTCCTCCCAACAATCCGTGAGGAAGGTACTCGTGATCATCACGGTGTTACACATGATGAATCCGAGATTCAGAAGGATTAAGTAATCTTTCCAGTGTTGGAGCTAGTATTTTAAGTTTAATTGACTAAAACACGCATTCTTTTGTTACTCCACATTGCTTTCCAAAAGGTATCCCCTTTATGTCCATTTGACAAATGATGAACTTGAGATGCAGAAATTGAGTGACAAGGTGAGTTTCAAGGCTAAAGAAAACTATTGTTAGAATTCAGGATGCCAACTCTTTTGCTGTTGAATATCATACTGAACAAATAGCTAAATTTAATACTGGCTGGTTTTGAATGTTTACTGTTTTAAAAATTCTGTTACATGCTCTGTCACAAGGTTTCTCAGCCTCAGCACTATTGCTGTTTTGGACTGGATGATTCTTTGTTGTGGAATACTCTCCAGTGCATTGTAGAATGTTGAGCGGTATCCCTGACCTCTGTCTACTAGATGCCAGTAGCACCCTCCCAGTTGTGACAACCAAAACTGACTGTAGATACTGCTAAATGTCCCGTGGGGGCAAAATTGTCCCTGGTTGAGAACCAGGCCAATCTCTAAAGGTGGTTGTGTTATGACAGAACTCACCTAGAGTAATTCAGAAATTTGTTTTGTGAGCAGGGGGTTATGTTGCTTTAAAGTGTGGTAGAAAGAACATGAGCTTTGAAATCTCTTGGCCCTGCCACTTATCCGTCCCTGTATCCTTGATTAAGTAATTTGTCTTTTCTGAGCGTTTGTTTCCTCATTTGTAAAATGGGCATTATATCTACCTGATAGGGTTTTGGTGATTAAGCTGGAGGATGATACAGGTGGAAGAATGAGGGGAAAAAAGGAGAAAAATGATCTGTAGTAGAGGAAAGTGAAGGAAAGATACAGAAGGCAGTTGTCAAGAGAAGGAGTGAAAGGCACATTGGGAAGATCTAAGATGGCAGGTGAACGAACCACATCTACCCTCTTCCCACACTCTAGTCCCAGGTCACTGAGTCTGGAAGAAAGCTCTGAACAGGGCCGAGCACGGTGGCTCACACCTGTAATCTCAGCACTTTGGGAGGCTGAGGTGGGTGGATCACTTGAGACTGGGAGTTTGAGACCAGCCCGGCTAACATGGTGAAACTCCATCTCTACTAAAAATAAAAAAATTAGGCAGGCATGGTGGCGCGTGCCTGTAATCCCAGCTACTCGGGAGGCTGAAGCACAAGAATTGCTTGAACCTGGGAGTTGGAGGTTGCAGCGAGCTGAGATCGCGCCACTGCACTCCAGCCTGGGCAACAGAGTGAGACTCAGTCTCAAAAAAAAAAAAAAAAAAAAAGCTCTGAAGAGTTTATTTTCTCTCTCTCTCTCTCTCTCTCTCTCCCCTTTCTTCTTTCTTTCTTTCTGTTTAATTGAACTTACAGTGCCACATGGCTGGGGAGGCCTCAGAATCATGGTGGGAGGTGAAAGGCACTTCTTACATGGCAGCAGCAAGAGAAAATGAGGAAGAAGCAAAAGCAGAAACCCCTGATAAACCCATCAGATCTCATGAGACTTACTCACTGTCACGAGAATAGCACAGGAAAGACCAGCCCCCATGATTCAGTTACCTCCCTCCCACAACACATGGAAATTCTGGGAGATACAATTCAAGTTGAGATTTGGATGGGGACACAGCCAAACCATATGAGGGATTAATACCTGATTTCTTTAATATGAAATTGAATATTCATATATATTTTATGTATAAGCTAACTGTTCTTATGTCCTTTATTACAGCCTTTCATTACATTTATTTTCTAAATTATATTTAGTAACATGTTTATCGATATAAAACACTAGAGATATGGGAAGTTACTTCAACTAATCCAGGACTCTGCAGAGAAAATAAAGTTAGAAGTAAGACAGCCCCATATTTTTAGCACAGTAAGCAATTGTATGAACTCATATAAGTATTGATTTACAATATTTTAGAAGCTTTCAAATAAAAGGACGGTGGTTTATCTTTTTCTGAATCAGGCTTCCAGTTTGTTTTTACTGATACTCTGTTAAAATGTGCATTTGCAACTTGGTTTCCTGTACCTCTTCACAGTAGAATGATTAGCACTTGATTGAATTGTCAAATTATACAGTGGTTTATTGTATCTTTCTTTGTCTCTAGGATGATTGAGGAAAGTGGGAACAAGCGGAAGACCATGGCAGAGAAGAGGCAGCTGTTCATAGAAATGCGTGAGTCTTGAGTCCTTGTTCGTATGTGCAGGAATGTTTGTGTGTGTGTGTGTTTTTTTTTTTTAAATCAAGTCATAGCTTTAATCAGTTACAAGTTTTAAGCTTTAAAGAGGGAAGAATGGGAGTAAAAGAGTCATAGAGTTGAAGGACCCCAAGCCGAAGCATATATTTTAATAGAATTGACTTGCTTTCTTAGGCAAGGCCATAAATAATAAGGTAGAAATGTTACCTAGAATGCCTGTGATTTTGTACCATGCCAGTCAATTTAGATCTCTTGCTGTAACTCCATTGTTACCGTGAGCTTGCAGGTGGTGATTAATACATTATATAAATTACCTTCCACTAGATACCAGTTCTGAGACAGAGAGGACTAAGTGTTAGGGCAACACCTAGAGATATTGGAAAACTAAAAAGAATGAATGTATATTTTGATATATTTTTAACTTTAAATATTCTGTTAAAAATTACATTGTTTTATACAGTTTAGACAGAGAGAAGAAGATGGCTAAGAGAGGTGGGGTGGTTCCCAATCCTTGCAGAATTGTTTTGCTCTGTGACTGCTTGTCTATGTGACCATGACCATGTGACCTTGACCAACTCAAGGTCGCATTTGCTGGACCTCAAATTCCTTTGCCATGAAATAGGGGTTATTGGTCTGGACCAGTGATTACGAAACCTTTCAAAAGTACTGTACTGTTTTTTTCCCAGCGAAATCTTATAGGGACCCTTAACATAAGAGTATTATAAAATTGGTAGTGCTTGGTTGAAGCAGGAGAGGGGAGGAAGAGCCAGCCTGGGATAGCCTCTAAGGTCCTTGCAGAATTCTAGAATTCTGCATATCGCAGTATGAAAATCAGTGGGTAAAAGTCTCCGAAGACCCAACTCTCAACTTATTTGATATCTTTAGGGTCTTGGTAATGGTAGGCAGAGTTTGACTCAGCTAAGCCGTGTGTTGTCCTGTTAGTCATAGGCTGGATAACTATTTGTTAGAGGTGGTAAAGAAGAAATTTCGGCATTGGATAGGTAGCCCAACTGGGTGATCATTAAGGACTTTTGTAGTTCTGAGCTTCTAATGGCTAGTAATCCAAGCCAGACACCTTGGAGTCACTTCTCTCCACCTCACCTTCTACCTCCAAAGAAATCAGAAGGCATCTGAATTTTACTATGTACATGAGTCTGATTCTGTTCATCACACCACAGCAGCTTTGAGTCCAGCTTTGCAGTTAGACTGCTCAGTTTGGATCTTGGCTGCCTCACTTCCTGACTGAATAACCTTAGGCAAGTTAACTTAATCTCTCTGGGCCTCTGTTTCCTCATCCATAAAGCAGGAATGGCATTGACTTCTTAGAATTGTTGTGAAGATTAAATGAGATAATGTGAATAAAGCACTTGGCACAATGCCTGACACTTACATACGTAAGTATGAAGTAAGTAGTACATACTTAATATGGATGGTTGTATTTATGACTAATTTTTTTTAATTGTTGGTACTTTTCTGAACTAAAGCAATAATTTCCTGATCCCTTTTTCCAGTCTTGACCCTCTCAAATCTTCTGTCTATGATCAGCTACCAGATTGAATTATATACATCTGTGCTGCTACTTCTTTTTTTTTTTTTGAGAGGGAGTTTCACTCAGCCATCCAGGCGGGAGTGCAGTGGCTCGATCTCGGCTCACTGCAACCTCCACCTCCTGGGTTCAAGTGATTCTCATGCCTCAGCCTCCTGAGTAGCTGGGATTACAGGTGCCCACCACCACGCCTGGCTAATTTTTGTATTTTTAGTAGAGACGGGGTTTCACCATGTTGGCAGGACTGGTCTCAAACTCCTGACCTCAAGTGATCCGCCTGTCTTGGCCTCCCAAAGTGCTGGGATTACAGGTGTGAGCCACTGTGCCTGGCCTAAATCTGTGCTACTTCTTTGCTTACATTCCTTTACTTGCTTCTCATCACTTTAATGGGAAGGACCCCACTCCTAAGATTGCCGAACAAGGCCCTTCTGGCCCCTTTTTTGCTCTGCCCAGTAGTTCCCAATTTTTCCATCACATGCCTTGCATGTTGCTTCCCAGCAATACTGAATTGGCTTTCCTGCAGATCATGTGGTTTCATGCCTTTGTGCCTTTGCACAATACCATTGCCTCCACCACCCGGCACACTGCTCCTGCCTGCCCTTCAAAACTCAGCATAGGGGTCATCTTTTCCCTTCAACTTTTAGTGCATTTATTGAGGATCTACTATGCTCCAGGCACTATTCTGGGTGCTAGGGCCACAAAGGAGAACAAAACACAGTCCCTGACCTCACTTCATGAAATGTCCGTGTTAGTAAAGGGAAGCAGACAAAATAGGAAACCAAATACATAGACACAGTCATTCCTGAAACTAAGAAGAGGCTGGGGTGCCTTAAGTAAATACACATGGGCATGCTGGCGTGATGGGGTGGAGATCTGAAGTAGTCCTACGAAGAACTGGGTTTACTTAGTTGTGAATGTTACTACTCTTACACAGAAACCTCATATGAATTATCCTCTGACTTAAGGATAACAGTCAGTCTGGGAGACGTTTGGTGAGTGTGACTTCTTGAGTCTCCTCTATTTCTTCACAGGAGGAATTGCATGGGTGACTATAATATCTGCTGCTGGAAGCCCCACCCCCTCATTTCCAGCAATGTCAACCAGAAACTCCAGCATAACTACTTTCTGTGGATGCCAGAATCACCTTTTTCCAGCCATTATTCAGTTGTATCGTTTAGTATGTTGATTTTATTATGTCAATTTTGAATCTAGTACTCTTTCTCAACTCTTATTAGTCTTAATGGTTATAGATTTCTACTTAAGTAGGTAACTGTACCATTTTCTTCTTTTTCTTTGAGACTGTGTCTTGCTCTGTCGCTTAGGCTGGAGTGTGAAGGTATGATCACAGCTCACTGCAGGCTCCATCTCCAAGGCTCAACTGATCCTCCCGCCTCAGCCTTCTGGGTATCTGAGACTACAGGCATGTGCCAACAGGCCTGGCTAATTTTCTTGTTTTTTTGTAGCAATGGGTTCACACTATGGTGCCCAGGCTGGCTGGTCACGAACTCCTGGGCTCAAGTGATCCTCCCACCTCGACCTCCCAAAGTGCTGGGATTACAGGTATGAACTACCGTGCCCGGCCAGTAACTATACCATTTTTAAAGAAAGACAATTTGGACTCTTCCTTTTGTAATTGTAATCCTTATACCCTTTTTTGACCTAGTGTACTGGTTAGGGCCGCAGATATTATATTGAAAAGTAGGAAGGATGGCTGGGCACGGTGGCTCATGCCTGTAATCCCAGCACTTTGGGAGGCCGAGGTGAGTAGATCATGAGGTCAGGAGTTTGAGACCATCCTGGCTAACATGGTGAAACCCTGTCTCTACTAAAAATACAAAAAAATTACTTGGACATGCTAGTGGGTGCTATAGTCCCAGGTACTTGGGAGGCTGAGGCAGAAGAATGGCATGAACCCGGGAGGCAGAGCTTGCAGTGAACGGAGATCACGCCATCGCACTCTAGCCTGGGCAACAGAGTGAGACTCCGACTCAAAAAAAAAAAAAAAGAAAAGTAGGAAGGATAGCAGGGGCATCCTTGTCTTGTTTTTTATTTTCATGGGAATGTTTCTAGTATTTCTATTATTTCTCTATTTCTAATATTTCACTTTTAAGTGTGATGATTGCTACAGGTTAACCTGATAAAGGTGAAGGAAGTAATATGTCCTAATTTGCCAGGAATCATTATCATTATTTTCTTAAGTCATAACTGAATATTGAATTTTTTTTTTTTTTTTTTTTTTGAGATGGAGTCTCGCTCTGTCGCCCAGGCTGGAGTGCAGTGGTACGATCTCGGCTCACTGCAAGCTCCGCCTCCTGGGTTCACGCCATTCTCCTGCCTCAGCCTCCTGAGTAGCTGGGACTACAGGCGCCCGCCACCACGCCCCGCTAATGTTTTTGTATTTTTAGTAGAGACGGGGTTTCACCGTGTTAGCCAGGATGGTCTCGATCTCCTGACCTCGTGATCTGCCCGCCTCGGCCTCCCAAAGTGCTGGGATTACAGGCGTGAGCCACTGTGCCCAGCCTTGAATATTGGATTTTATCAGATGTTCTCTGCTTCCCTTGAGAGGAATGTATTTCCTCTTCACTCTGTTCATACAGTGCTGGGGCCAGCCATCTTTTTCTTAAAGAGCCAGAAAGTATATATTTTAGGATTTGCAGGCTGTATGATGAGTTCTTTGTCAAGCTACTCAACTCTGCCATTGTAGCATAAAAGCAGTCATAATAATTTATTAATTTAAATAGTTTATGTTTTTTTAACCTTAGCGTTCAGAATATTTCCTTTTGGAGCTCTTTTTGAAAAAAATAATTGTAACGTTTAGATTCAGGGGGTACATGTGCAGGTTTGTTACATAGTTTGTATTTTTCAACCTTGTGTTACCTTTACTGTTATGATTTTATATAATGTCCTTAAGCCTTTATGTTTTTAGACAGTATTTTTACATTTTCTGTTATGAACAGCAATGAAATTAGTTTATTCTTTCTTTGCTTAATATTTTCTCTTTTAGACTCTAAGCAACATGAGAATAAGGATCACATCTGTTTATCATGGTGGTGCCTTGATAAATATTTATTAACAGAAGAATGGAATATATTCCATAGAAATAAATGGGTAGTTTATGATTCTTACATAATATAAAATCCCTAAGAAAAATGAAAGGTGACAGGTGAGAAGAGTGATCCCCAACTCTGGTGCTAAAGCGAAAGTTCTCCAGTTGATTGTGCAGAGTACTTGATACCAGGCCTCCAACGCTCAGAGATGCTGATTTTATTTTGTCTTTTCTAAAGTTTGCCAATTTTATTGGCAAAGGACTGACTTTTAGCTTTATTGATCCTCTTTGTATATCTTTGTTCTCTGCCTCATTTGTGCTATTTTCATCTTCCTATTTAGGCAATTCTGTTATTTTTCTAACAACTTATGTTGGGTTACTAAGGC